TTAATTTCATTCTGAACAAAGGTGAGCCATCCAGTCCTCCTTTGGATGGTCTGTTCAAGTAGAAGACTGCCTATTTTAGAGGTGGATGGTTTTTAAAATTCTTAGAGTTGGTCAACGTTTTAAAATTCTCATCATCAATGATAGAAGTCACGTACGACTTGAAAGTGTGAACTCTACCAGCAGGTATGCAATTTATTGTGCAGACTTGCTTAGAAGGCAAGAATGGAACATTGTGCATAGTCCAGGTACCACACAAATGACTGCTCTTTGTGCAGAAATTGAAATATCCCAGTTTAACAAAGAGTTCAACATAGAGCATGACATGAAGCAGTTTCTTCAAATCAAAATTTTAATATCCATGTCAGATGATTGTTATATGTATCATTCAATATTGCATTTCAAAAAACTATCACATGCACTGTTAGTGGTTTTGCTCAAGTGATACTACTGTACAATGTAAAGGTATTCACTAACTCCCTGAGTTTTTCATTGCTAATGGTAAGGGATCGTCATTACTTCCCTGATAATAACTACCTGTTACTAAAATCATGGCATTACGCATATCAGTATGCCTCCCTCCCCCAGCATTGCTTCCCTGCATTGTTACAGTGCTGGGTAGTAATGATGGATGATGACCATAATTACACATACATAAATTTCCATATAAATATTGAATTGAACATATACCAGTGCTTCTTGTGGAATAAAAATTTTTAAATACATATCTTCAGAAAACAACTTTCACTGCTTTGAATACAGAAAATAACACAAATTTTCCCTTTATTTTCTTCCTTTGAAAGAATATTTGGCTATTTTGCAATACTTCTGGGTCTAAGCATTTAGCACCAACATACAAATGTGGGTAACACAACAAGAATGCAAGGCATACAAAGTACACAATTATTTTATTCATTCATTTCCCTGAAAAATGTTACAAGTAAATATATTTAATGCTTTAATATTAGAATCACAACTTCAAATATCTTTTCAGTGTATTGCTTTTAAAAATTATTATACATTATTATATAATATTATAATTGACATTCACCTTATATTGTATTGGTTTACTTTTCAGACATTCTGAAATGTTCTGTGACCTGGTTTGTCAAGTTCCTCAAAAAATGCAACACATCATCATGCCCAGTACTTTCCAGGAAAGCACCTTGGTCGATATCACTTTTCTGAGGTCAGCAAAACAACATAATGGCCTCAGTCAAAGTCACTTATTGTATAATATATCTTTAAAATATTGAAATTGTCAAAAAAATGCAAAATCTAAACTCATAATTCACATAAATATACATAAAATTGCATAATGTATAATGTCACCTTAAAATGTTACTTAATAGTATGTTTAAATAATGATAATTACTTGGCTGCCTGATTGTAATTCCAACCCATGTAACTCCTTTTTAACAGGTAAGGCACTGCCTGAAATAAGACAATTAGTATGGGTATGAATGTACTATACAAGTCCATATCCTTGCCAGTACATTATATACACTGATTAGAAAATGATTTTTATGTAAAAGATGCTAAAATCTGACTGGCTTGAGGAGTGAGAAGCCAAGAAGTTACCAAATTTTCTTTTTCTAAATGATCTGAATACAAAAAATCGCTTTTCTCATCAGTTTAGGATATACTTTCCTACTGCAGTGCAACATCTTCCCAATCACACAGCTGACTTGATACCAGGAAAGTGGAACACAAAGTTATTTGAGATAAAAATGACATCCCAGTAATTTTGGAGTAGGGAAATATGTTTAAAATACAATGCAGTTGTGCTAATATGACTTGACCTAAATATAGATATTATTTCAATGAGAATATGCTTCAATAAGCTTTTCTGAATACATGCCTTCATAAAATGTTTTTAAATGCATGGAAATGGCTGGTGGTACATGAACATACTCTGAAGTTGGCCTGCACCTCTCCCTTCGCCTCTTTTCTTCACTATTTTTGTTCTTGGCTACTACTACTGCTACTACTAGTGTCAGGAAACGGTAGCATATTATAAAGCAAGTCATTCTTGGTTCCTGAGAAATGTGGAACAACAGTTGGTTGTATTGATAGCTTTTCTTTCCTGTCTATCATATCTAGGTAGCATTGGGCAAACCTTTTGTTGGTATGGCTTACATCTGGATGGTTGATATATTCATCTAACTGGAAATGCCAAAACAAATCATAAACAGGTAATATTATCCTGACTAAAGCATTCACCATTTTCTCTCCTCTACAAATGTTGAAACCTGTAAACTCCAAATTTCAAATCTGTACTCCATTCTAGTTTATGTTTACATTTCTCACCTCTTAAATGTGCAAAAAAATACTGCAAAGCTGTGCCACTTACATCCATCCAACAGCAGGCAGAAATTTCCCTGTCACACTTGGTTATTTCCTTTGACAAAGGCACCATTAGGCAGATAAAGTAGAAGTCATCCAATCCATGACGAAACTTGTGTTGATGACGGAAACAAATTATTGACTGAAATTTACAGCGTACCCCAGTTTCTTCAAACACTTCCCTCTCTGCTGCTTCACCAATGTCTTCACCTAGTAGGAGCATGGAATGTTTAATTTTATGACATCTATGGAACACACATATATGCTTTTTTCATAATAAAATTTTACAGGCAAATTTTGAATATTTCTTCTTTTAAATAAGGTTTCAGTCAGTGGCCAATTTTGATGCTTATTTTGCAACTCCTTTAAAAAACATGTAGGATAAAAAAGCTTTTAGCATATATTTTAAGTCTTGTCTTCAGACAAACATATATTCGTTGTTTTGGAAAAGAAATATCTTTCTAACATTGTTGATGATTTAATCTAGAATGGTTGGTATTTTAATATCACATCAAGCACAATAAAATTGTTCAGGGTCATAAAATACCACATAAATATGAACACAATGTAACTTCAATTCTTAGTACTAACCAAGTTCCATATGCTATATGCACCCATACCTGTATCAGCCATTCCACCAGGTAACTTCCATGTTTTTTGAACATGGTACTTTTCCTGTATTACCAGTAATTTCTTTTCAGAGTTTACAACAAACCCAGCACAACCTGTTTGAAAGTAGATGAAACTGAAAATATTGTGCCACATAAATAACAGGACTGAGGCATATCTGTAATAAAATCAATGTTCAATTTAAAAGAATTGTTCTCATTAATGACAGAAAACATCAAATTTTGCCTATTCTTTTGAAACATTGATGCCAAATGTAATTTCACCTTTTCCCTTCATCCAAGTTACTACAGCCAAAATCTTATAGTTAATGGTCTTTACTTCAGCCAATGGGATTCAAGCATTGTAAACATGAGATATACAATTTGGTAATTATTCTATAATTTACTTTCCTTTTTGATTTAGAAAAAAAAAGTCTGTTTTGTATAAACAATTTACCTAAGAATTTTTTCTGCAAAAGAAAAATCAAGACATACATACAAGAACAAAGGCATTTTATTTGGTAAAACTTTGCATTACCTAAATACTGGTTTGCATATGGTGGAATGCAGTTTTCTTCATCTTGAGGTAGCCACCTAGTCATCATGACATAAGAAGGTTTAGCATGGTTGTACACAAATTTATGCTACAAAAAAATAAAATCAAAAATTTACAAAAAAACTGGAATACACAGGAGATTATATTCAATTTGAGCACCAGTAAATGCTATGCAAAGTGGAAAGAGGAAGAGTAAAGACACACGCAAAGAAATTTTATAAGTAGTCAATTCTGGTTTTCCATGAGTACGGAATGCATGGCATTTAACAACTTATATGCATAAAAACAGGTCAGTTATATGACATACATCTTGAAATTAACTGAAGAATAAATGTTTCAACAGTACATGTATTTACAAACATTTCCAACACATATGTTTCTGTAGGACTCCGAAGTGAAAAGGGGCAAATATCCAGAAAAAAATAGATATAAGACAAGACAAGACAAGATCTGGCCTATATTTCCCATGCTGCATTTTTCACTGGTCACACAGTGGGTTGTTTTAGTCATGTTCCAAATCAAAGGTACTGGTATGTACAATTTAAACCCTCAACCCGCCCACACCATCTAAAAATGAACCTCACTCTGCCAACTTGAAACAAACAGATTGTTACTACCTCTCAAAATTTTTTAGCAATTATAATACAGAGTACAATATAATGCATGAACTGTAGAGGTTCATAAATCATATATAATGTAATGTACGTTTATGCTCTTACCTTTGCACATATTGGCACCAGTGCTGCCATGTCTAGGGGTATTTTCACCCACACACCCCTAACAGCCTCCTTTGACCAACTACACAAAGAATCTGACCAAAAATCAGTACACATTCATTAATATTTTTCAATAGCACGCTTATATAACATCATCTTATGTGTAATATCTGTAAATAAATCAGGCATTTCTATTAACATTTCTTAGCAAGAATGCTAATTCCAAATGCTATCAGTGAAGTTATGAACATTCAGCAAAGTTTCAGAAGTAAAATGCTATCAGTGAAGTTCTGTGTCTGACAATAAAAACATAAACAAGAGGGTTATACTAGTAATTTATAATTGCAAATTTTTTTTTTTTTTTTTTTTTTTGGCTTTACCGTACAGTACATACTGACTAATTTTTTCTCAAACTCCTCTTCAGTTTCATATGTTTGCTTGTTTATATCAATTATCACTCCATCATATCTAAAATACAATAAAATAAATAAAATATACATATTCATACCATAATCATTTGTTTGAAATTTAAAATTGAAATACTGCATATTAACACATATGATATTCTTTTAACCTAGGTTCTTTTAACTTTATATACAGTACTTTTAATTTTGATTAAACACAATTAATGTACTACCACAACACCTGAATAGAAAAATAAAATAAAATAAAATAAAATAATGGCTGTTCTCCACTTCACAGCCTCAGATATTTATTGTCTATATTCAGGGTAAAAATATTAGATTTGAAATAATTTTGACAAATAATTTTCGGATATAAAACTGAAGGACGTGGACATGGACAAAAGTCGTGGAATACAAGCCCTTTTCAATACTAAAAACAGTGGTAGCACTACTGCATAAATGGAATTAATAGATTAAAAACGTTATCAAGCAGCAAGGCCCTACACTATCCCATGTAACTGATGGGTAAGGTCGATCTGCGTCTCGATTGTCCAAAGGTTCATTGGTCCGAAAGAGTCGTAAACATTTTCATCAGTTTTATTTGTATAAAAAGGTTACTCTGAACTTACATACAGTCAAACCTACCTATCTCTCTTTGCAGGAAGTGTGTTTGGATGATAGTCTGCCATAATTGCTACTACCGCTGTGTGTCGGCTGCTTTTCGGTCTCGGCAAAAACAAAGACAGAGTTATGATATTTTCGCGATATCAGTTACACCTTCCGAATTATCGGTTGAATTATTGATATAACCTCCAAAACAACCATAACTAATAAATTAAAATCATAATAAATAAAAGTCATAATGTCAAAATTTAGTTTCTTCAAATAAGGTTTCTAAATTTCGTAGAAACTTTTTTACATGTGCAGAATCGCTCTGAAACTGCAATTTCCACATCCGGCAGACAGGTTTAGCTTTTGTTGGGATTCCTACAGAACTCCTTGCTAGAATGTAGAGAGTAACGCAAGAAAAAGATGGTGCTTTTTTCACAGGTTAATAGTACACTGTAAAGGTAAAACACTTAATTCGTTTTAGTTAAAGTCGAAACTCATCTTTGACTCATTTTAAGACCTTTCTAGGTTCGGCTCAGATGAAAACTGAGCTACAGTAAGTGACACTGTCCACACACAGTGCATCATGCATGAACTTAAATTGTTAAGTATAAAATTATAATATTTGTTAAATCTTATTAATGTGTTAAATAATGCACTTTCTCATTTATAGGGCAATTGAAAAATGAACCATTCATAAGATCCTGCAGAGAGGGGGAGAATTTGGCATCATGAGAGAGGAGGCTGTTCTTTTCTGTGCAATATTTTTTGCATTAAAAGAGCATTTTCAAAAACATACTTATGATGTCTACTTACTTGTTGTACATGGTATGTATCATGATAATTCCCCAATGTTTGATAGGAAGTCATAAGTATCTGGTACACTTTACAGAATTGAAGGAAGAATCTCCACAATTTTTGGTTCTTATCAATATCAAGGAATTTTAACAACAGCTCCTTGTCAATATCAACCACAAGCCTGGAGAACTGCAGTCTTCACAAAGGTCCTCTTTCACATTGTGCAGCATACTTTTCTCAAAATCTGCATTGCAACATTTTGATAGATTGATAACTTAATAACCTGGACATAACATATCAGAGTCCTCTCAATGGTGTCCCCACACTCAGTATGGACAGTTAATCTGATCAAATATGATTGATCCAAACACTTAGAATTGAACTTGTGAATGGGAGCAAAAACATACCATAATTATATATTAAGTTTGGTCAAAAAGCTGTGTCATAGATAAGTATCCTGCACAATGCAAAAAAAAAAAAAAATGGGGGGGGGGGGGGTTTTTTATTACCAAAATCTTAGCATAGGTTATTTAAATGTGCACATGGGAATTTTTTTTTTTATTTTTTTTTTTGAAAAAAAAAAAGCAGTTGCTTCGGGTATTTTGGCTCTTTGCACCAGTGATCACACTTCGTTCTTTCTCTCTGACAAATATTGCGTAAAATGCCTTACCCTAAAAAAGCAAACATACCGCCTGCACTATTACCCAACTAATATAAGTGTGTGTGGAGTAATGGCTTACCAAGCATATGAATCATTTTGTCCTTCGTGTCAACCTCGTTTTGTATTTGTCAAGATGAATAATTGGGACTTTGAGGAACACTCAGGTGTCGGGACGGAGTGGGAAGACATATTGTTATTGTCGTCCATGGTGACCGTCCCTGTGACCCCGCCTCAGTCACGGATATAGCCCCGGTGTGACGGGACCTGTTTAGAACAAAGACGACAGCGGGAGAGGTGACACCCGAGCGTGTCGCGACAAAACGTGACTG